GCGCGGGTGCGTGGGTTGTCCATGTTTGACCAATGTCATGACACCGCCAAAGAAGTAGTCATGTCTGGCACGCTTCCGTGGTCGGCCTTTTGCAGTGGTGTTGGTGGTGCCAGTGGTACTGGCAGTAGCTGGGGTGCAATAGGTGTGGTAGCCTTGCTTGTTGCATGCTGCGGTGATCGCTGAGATGTGAGTGGGATCACACTTGTGCTCTTGAAGGTGAATGATATCTGGCTGGCGATCCAGGGTAGGGAGCCAACGTAGAAGTTTCCAGATATTCTGGACACCGTTGATGTTGATGCTCATTCCGTAGTGCAGAGTGTGGTTGTGTTTGCGAACACGTGGGCCAGGGTGGCTGGCTTCCCCGATTCGCGTTGCATTGTGTGGGTTGTGGTTGTGCTGGTAGTGTGGTGGGTGTGAGTGTGTAGCGATGCTGTTGTTGTGGTGGTAGAGTCACAGCTGCTGTGGTGTGGTGCTAGGAGGTTGGTATTTGTAATGCTTGTCGAGTTGTTCGACCGTTGTGTTGAGGAGAGCAGCTAGGTCATTGCCGTCTCCGTTGCTCCTGCATTTTGTCCACCATGTGCGGTGGTGTGCATGGATGTCGATTCGCTTTGGGCATTGTTTGCTGCGTCCTGTTGCTCCGAGTAATGGTCGCCAGCATTGTTGGCAAAGAATCAAGATGCCAGCAGGGAATTTCTTGTGGAGCTGTGTTGTCGGGCATGTATTGGGATCCCATGGTGTCATCTGGTGCAATGGCAGGCAGGTGACCGTGTTGCTTTGCTGTCTTGATTGCAGCGTCGCGGAGACGTTTCTGCTGTTTGGCTCCAAGTGTTTGGTCCTTACGGTGCCAGGGGGGAAGCTTAGCTCGCGCTTGTTTGCTGTTGAGGCTTCTGAGTGTTTCTTTTGGATGGTGGTCAGTAATGTGATTGCAGATGCTGTCGTGTTTAAGTCGCTCTTCAAGTTCGGGCAGAGCCGCGTAGCATATTGGGCAGACCCATGCTTTGAGTGTGTCGGGTAATGCGTTGCTTGCTTCAATGGCTTGGCGCTTTTTGCAGACGTTTGGTTGTGGTTTGTCGGGATGCGCTGTCCGGATGTGATGAAGCCGTTTTCGACTGAGTTGGTCTGCTCTGGCTTCGGGGTCCTGTATGATTTGGAGCTCGCAGTAAGGGCAAGTCCAAGTTTTTTCTTCTTTTTTGGGCCTGGTTGCAGCATGTGCGTCTGTTGCGGAGGGCACGGTTTCTCAGGTAGTAAGCTTTGTGTCGCCGGATGGCTTTGTCAGCTGTGGCAGGGAAGCTGTCTGGGGGTGCTTGTTTGTGGTTGAGCCTCAAGCGTTTTGGTGGTGAAAGAGGTAGTTCGGTGTGGGTGTTGCTATTCAGGGTGGGGGCTGCAGTGTGTAGTTGTCTGCGGCGGCTAGGTAGGTCAGTGGCTGATCCAGTGGCTTTGTGTCCCGAGGGCTGGTACAGTAGTGCTGCTGTTGTTGTCGTGGAAGCAGGGCCGGCGGTCTTGCACCAACTGGAGCTGGTGGGTGCCAGTGAAGGTGGTGGTTTGCACCAGCTGCTGCTGACTGGGGAGTCCGGCTCATTGCCGCTGCCATGGAACCGGCATGGTCCTGGTGGTGGTGTCATGTGGTTGTATTCTTCTGTTGCTTTCCCGTGTATTGTAGTGAAATGGTCCTTCTGGAGCAATAGAACCAGTGGTTGTGAATGGATGCCAGGATGTGCTGGTTGTCTGGCTGTGAGTGCCCAGGTGTTGGTGTCTTTGGGCTCGAAGACCAAGATGTCGAAGCCGATGGCCCGAGCAAGGCCAGCGGTAGCGTAGTGATCCATCCACTTGGATGGTTTGTTGAGGATCGCCTCAAGCCATTCGTTGGCAGTGGTAGGGACTGGTCCGGATTCGGTGGTGGGATCCGGTGCCCAGAAGGGTTGCCATTCTTTTTGGTTGGCTTGTAGCCATGTTGTTGCCTTTGTGCGAGCAGTAATCGCCATGCCTGTAAGTCTGTTGTTAATATATGTGCTGTTCTTGCCGTTTGCGAATGCCATTGCTGCAGCAGCAGCACGCCATCCACAATCACCAGCTCCTCCGAGATCGATGATGTCTTCTCCGAGTGGGCCTGCCGTGAGAACTGGTCGGTCTGCATTGTTGTTGCTTGTGGTGGTTTCAGAAGTAGTGGCAGCAGTCTTTTGTTTCTTTTCAAGCGTTTGTTGAGTGGTGTCGTCGGATTCTGTCGGCCTTTTGCCTGGTCCGTCGCTTGTGTCCATGGGTTTGGTTGTAGTGGTGGTGGGTCGTTTGTTGGCTCCAATTGGCGTGATCCATTTGGATCTGGCAAGTGGTGTGCTGGCGCTCGGGTGTGGTTGTCGTGGCGCCGGTTGCCAGAGGTTGATGGTGATGGTGAAGGTATGGTCACCATTGTCGTCGTGGAGCTGGTATGTTAGTGGTGTGTGAGAGTCAGGTGGTTGCTGAGTGGTGCAGGTTGGTGCAGTGGCTGTGAAATGCCATGGGCTGCGTGGGCTTCTTGGTGGTCCAATTGCTGATATGTTGGTGAAGCCTTGCGCCGTCAGCCAAGCTTCGAGGGCGCTGGGTCCCCAGTGTTTGGGGGGGCCTTTTGCTGTGTAGCGAGCTGTGGTTTTGGCTGTTGGAGTTCTTCCACGGATGCCAAGATATGCATGCCCCAGACCTTGTCGGTGGGCGACGCCATGTTTTTCTTTGTGGGCAAGTTCTGTGACTCTTTGGCAGTAAGTGATGTCGGTTTCGTAGGTTTCTTTTGGGATCCATTGGACACTGTCCTTGCTTGCTCCAACCTGGGTGTAGATGATGCCATGTTCGCCGGATCGTTGTGTGATCTGTTCGAAATATTTTGGTTTGATCCGGATGTATCCGGTCAGTTGTGTGGTACGCTGTTGTTGGGTGATGCGCCATCCGAAAGTGTGTGCTTCAAGGTTGAGTTCAGCCAGGGTTGCTTGTAGCATGCTAGCTGGTTGTTTCAGCCGTTTTGTCCATTCCGCTGGTGTGTTGAGGTGTTCGTATGTCTCAATGCGAATGGTGATGTTGTCGTCATCAGTGGGTATCGGTTCTGTGGTTGCTGTTGCCTTTATGCAACGTGGTTCTGGTAGTGGAGCTGGCATGTCATTGTATAGTGGCACCATGAAAAACTGCTTGTAGCCGTTGTTTGTGGGCAGCCAAGTGGTGGTGGCTTCCTGTGGTTTTTCTGCTGTGATTGGCTTGTCCCAAATTACAAGGCCTTTGGTGACTGTGGGTGTGTTTTTGTTGGTGTGTGTTTGTGCTTTGATCCATTGTTGGATAAAGTGGCATTCTTCGGTAGTGACCATTGCGTAGCCATCACGGAGCTTGGTATTGTCTTCAAGGAGTTGGATGAGTCGTTGTCCTGACATGACGGGTGTTTTGGTGTCGAATGTTAGTCGTGGTGGTTGTTCACCAGTTGTTGTAGGGCTGCTCGTTTGATTTTTGAGAATCGGTAGTGATCGGGTTGAGTCGTTGGTGGTGGTGGCTGGCGTAGTGGGTTGCTCAGCCGTAGCTTTCATTGATCGTTTGTCGTGTCGTGCTTGTCTGATTTCTTGTGCTTGGGTGAGTAGTGTCATGAGTGCTGGTAGTGGGTCTTGCGTCTTGTCCTGGAAAATTCTGTGGATACTTGCGTGGAGGTCAAGTTTTGGCGCAACTGTGGTTTTCTGGTTGTTGCGAGGTGGTCGTGGTTGCTGTCTATCAGGTTGCATCGAAGTAGTTTGTCTAGTGTGTGGTGGTTGCTGGTGGAGTCTGCGCTGTTGGAATGCGGTGGCAAGTGCTATGAGGGCTGCTGCTAGTGTGTCTGCATCTTCGATGTCGTTGGTGTTCCGTTGTTCTTGCTGTCGCTTTCTCACGGTGGTTCGAGAACCTCCGGCTCCTCCGTGGAATCTGCTTTCTTGTGTCGCTTTGTGCGCATACCTGCGTCTGCATATTCGTAGTGCTACGTAGGCAAGTCTTTTCTTCCTTCGTGGTTGTAGTCGTAGCAAGATCGCCAAGAGGATGGCGATAGTGGTGGTCAAAACCGTGGCTCCCCAGAGCCAAGGTTGTAAGGTCAAAACTGCTTAGATCGTCCATATCCCAGGCCATGGTTGTGTATTTCCGTGGTACTCCCATTCGTCGTTGTCCGCTTCTGCCACGAGGAGGCTGGAGTTGTCCAAGAAGCATCTCCCACTGAAACTATCTCACAGCATCGTGCGGTGATTTTTGGGCACGCCCTGCACCCCCCTGGTGAAGATCAGGAGGTCTTTTCCACCTGGTGAAGACCAGAGGATTGACAAAATGAAAAATATGAAAAAAAGTGAGGGGTAAGACCACCATCACTGAAAAAAATGACATGTTCATGTGGTTCCAGATTTTTTGTCGATTTTGTGGCACTGTAACACAACCAGGAAGTCTTCTCCACCTGGTGAAGACCAGAGGATTTACAAATGAAACGAAGAAGGGCAAGACCTTCTTCTAAAAAAAAGAACATATGAAAAAACAAGTGAGGGGTAAGACCACCATCACTGAAAAAATGTTCATGGTTCAGTGTTCTGCCCAAGCGTGTAAAGCCTTCCAATCGGTTGCGGCCTTTGGGGCCACGCGCCGTACCTTTGGTAAGTCTTCGAAGCGTGCTGTTGGGCCTTCCAAGCCTGCTGCGGGCCACTGCGCCAACGCCAATGTCCAGGTCAAACATCTCAGAAGGGTTTCGAACTTGCCATTTGCCACCTTTAGTTCTACGGGGCCACCCTGCTTAACTTTGTTAACCCGTCGAAGCGTGCTGTTCGGCAAAAAAATAAAAGTGTTAAAATGTCACCCAGCAGAAGAAATTAGAAATTTGGACGTGCAATCTTCATTCGCATAAATCTGCCCTCCTCATTGCCGCCCCCGACACAAGGGGGTCGCCGGCACCAGGGCGTTAGCCCATGTATTGCAGCCTTTTGTTTTCTCCTATGATTGGCCATCACCGACTTTAAAACATCACCTTCTTTCGCTGGCCCAGCGGC